CGTTTAATACAAAAAAGCTGCAAGTATTTATTCCCTGCCAAAATATCAATTTTATTTTCAAAGTATGAAATTAAAAAATTTAAATATATTTGAACACCCGAGCAATGAAGATATTCGAACGCTTTTAAATAAATCGCCTTTGCCATTTTGCAGTAATCAGCGTACATTATATCATTCTACTATACTTCCGTCACGCATAAATACTTCAAGTACCTAGAAGCATTTTAAGCAATAAATACAAACAGTGAAACTGATGTTACCAAATCACGCATCAAAAAGTCTTCCTTCTCGAGCAACTGCCTTTTACAATAGAAAAAACAACTACGATTACCCTGCTAGCAGTCAAAAAATAAAAAAATAAAAGAGAAGCAAAAAGCGAAGCACGTGTGTACAACCCCAACACTGGCCGGTGACCTCTCCTCGTGAAATGACAAATGGCGTTCACAGAGCGCAGTACCGTCGCTCCGTAATACCCCAATACGTAACACACGTCAGGACAGACATTCCAATCGACTCAGAACGTCTCTAACCGGAATTCGTTCGGAACGAAAGATTCCCGCGTCGCGACGGACATGTCCAGCGGTGCGTGGCGTAAAAAGCCAGCTAAAGCGGAAGAGATTTCGGGATGTGGCCACGGGAGGAGGAGGAGGAAGCGACTCGAGATCTTTCGAGAGAGAAAAAGGAATAATAGATACGTAGGGAGATGCAGGATCGAGGTAAGAAGAGCTTCGCCTGTGGAGGTGGAGAACGGGCGAAGGTGGAGGGGGAGGAGGTGGAGGGGAAAAATAAGAGGCTCTTTCCGCGAGGCGAGCGAACCGGCTCGTACTCGATAGCATCTGCGGAGCCTCCGACAATAATAGTGTGGACCGAGAAATATGCGCGCGGGGCCCGAGCCCCGTGAATCCTTCGGCGGTTTTGGGGTGGTGAGGTAGTACGGAGGCAAAGCCCGTCTGGTGGGGCGAAATTCTCCGGTGCGTAGTGATGGAATCGATCCGATACTTGTAATTTCCGAGCAATTCGTCCTTTCGATATATTCTCCTCGCTCGTGGAGACCTCTCGCGGCCAGCGAATTTTATATAAAATCACGTCGCGTTCGAAAGAAAGAAAAACATCTTTGTACTAACCAGTTCTGTGAATTTGGATATAGAAATGTTACGCGCAGCGTAAACTTTCTAACGCTAGCGATTAGATAGCCACGTCTAATACCTTTCTTACGCAATCCCCGTATATGGGGACTTAATTTCATAGAGGTATTTAAATCACCGTGCCGTTAAGAACCACGTGAGAAAAAACTGAAGCTATTTTCGAACGACTCGAATGATCGTTTAGAAATTGTTAAGGCGTGGATATGATCGAGTAGGATGTCGAGCCGAATTTGTATTAGGAAAAGAAATAACGGACGTGGTTTATCGATCGACGATACCGGCGAAAAAATCAATAAAGTGTGCAAAGGAAGGGGATTTGGTCCCATCACTACTGCCACAGAACGGGCCTTCTGACGGAGAGGGGACATATACCAAGGTCTACCGGGCCTGTTCTTAGATGATCAGAGACACGGCTGATGGGCCAGTAGTGGCCCCAGAAATTCCAACAAGGACGAGGCATAATGCGCGACTCATCAGCAGGGTCGTACCGTGACCTCGTCAGGCCCTCCTGCCCCTCTTCTCCCGCTTCACGGAGCCCCTACTCCGTCCCTGCTGTCGTCCCTTACAGGCTGGGCTCCGCCAGCGACAGGATCGTGCACTCGCCCCGCGGCGCCCTGCATATCGGGCTCTTGCATGCCACCACGACATTCCGCATCGCTGAGAAAAATGTACGCCCTACGGGGGTAGGCTCGATGACAAATGCTATGGTGAAATCCGAGATGTGACCTCGTCGATGTTTCAACGTTCGGCTATTCCGAGAAGCTAGTAGCGCGCGCGCGCGCGCGTGGGAAAAAAATTAACGGTTCTTCGAACGTCGATCACTGTTTGTCTACCCTGGTGAATATCTCGATCGGCGAAAAATCTGGGTCAAGGAAATTCCGATAGACGAAAGAATCTCGACGATGGAATTTCAGTCGATCGAACTGGGGGATACGATTAAATACGCTTGTGTATACACATACGCGATGGCGGAGGGAAGCAGCAAAATTTCGACACGCGATATCGTAAATATTCATAGTGCACGAGCGAACGCGGCACGTGTGCGTACGTTCTCTAGTATCAATTAGATTCACTAGGAACGAATACCGCATGAAATGCATAGTATCTGAAAGGAGGGAGCCTAGTGGGAGAAGGTGGAGAACAAGAGAAAGAGTCGGAGAGTTTAGTAGAGCAAGAAAGCAAGAGAGAGGGAGGATAGGAAAAGCAGCTGGAGTAGGGGGCGCAAGGGCTCGATTGCGACGGTCCTGCCGAGCCTCAGGACGAGGCCCGCCTTTTTACACCGGGTAAGAAAGAGCCGCTTGAGGCCACTGTGGTTGAAGCGAGATAAATGAAAGACTATGGAAGGAACAGACGAAAGGAGAGGAGAGGAGGAACGCCTATACGGAGATCGAGAGAGGCAGTCCGCGTGTATGCGTGCTGGAGCGAGAAAGAGGCAGAGATCGAAGGATTAAACGGAAGAAGGGAGAGAGAGAAGGAGAGAAATAGAAGAGCAAAAAGGAAGGATGTTGGATACGATGGAAGGGGGAAGGGTGGTAGGTAAAAGCAGGATGGAAACGAGAAGGGAAGGAGAGAATCGACCGGGTGGTGCAAGAAGCGAAGGAAGAGAAGGCAAAAAGGAGGAAAAAAGGTGGGATCCCTTAAAAATTGAGACCCACAGAGGTGGGGATCGGAATTTCGGGCCCCGTAAACCGGCCAGTCTCGAGGAGGCCTTCGCGAAGATGAGGTGAAGAGAAGAGGAGATAGACGCCCGACGGGATAGAAGAAGAAGAAGGAGAAAGAGAAGGAGAGAAGAATAAGAAGACGAAGACGAGGAAGGTAAAGGCGGCGAAGAAGGGAAGGAAGAAGTATATAGAAGAAGAAAGAAAGAGACGACAACGATCACGACGACCACGACGACGAAGAAGAAGACGAGGAAGACGAAGAAGAGGAAGAAGAGGAACCGTGCCTAGTCTACTGTGTACCCGGCATGGACCGTCAGTACACGCTCTGTGTACTCGTACCGGCGCACCAGTACCGCACCTACGTGAACAATTACCATCAGCAGGCGCATCATCAGCGACTGCAACAACAGCAACGCCAACAATATTCCGAGCAGCAGCGTTCGTGCAAACAGCCTTATCAGCAGGAGCAAATTTACGAGAACGTCGTGTCCCAATATCGAATGAGAATGTGCTATCACAACGATTACGAGAACGACGAGCAGATACAGAGGTTTTACTGGGAGCAGTGCTACAGACGTGATGACACCGACGCCACCGCATACTATTACTGTGAATACGTAAGGGCTCTTCCAGGATTCTCGCGTGCCTTGTACGTTACTCGAGTCATTTGGAATCTGTCGAAGTGAAATTCCGCGTTCTGTATACCCGATTGATCAGTGTTTTCATAACCTGTCTAATGTCTCGTATTACTTCCAATCGTGTATCTTTTCGTATTTCTTTCCGCGGTCACGTGTCATAACCAAACAGTCGCGCTGATTCGTCGATGATATCGATGGTAAAAATTCTTCGATCTGTTCACTCGTTCCTATATTTACGTGTCGTCGGGGAGTGGATTTGACAAACGGAACGGGGTTATGAGACGTACGTACTGAACTGCCACGGGCATAGACCAACAAAAGTGCGAAATTCCATGGAAACGCGGCATGAGAACGGAACAGAATAGGAAACGTTGCATTCCAAAGCCGTGAATTCCAAATGTTTCTCGCTACTTCTCGTACGTTTTTTTTATTCCCACGTCGTTCCACGACATCCAACCATGGAAGAATCCGAAGTGCAGGATCGTCCGGCACTCGTAGGCACCGCGTAAATCATGTGTATAATATTACTTCCTTGACTGAAAATCGAAAGAATGCCGGTGGCTAAGCGTTTGCGTGGCTTCTATTGAATCTCTCGACCGCGCGTGATCGAGGTGAAAACGCGAAACGACTATTTCGAATTCAACGTCACTTCCGACCGCAGAATACTTTTTGATAAGCATTGCTTCAGTGCCGTACATACGTGCACACGAACATTTCCATTTATTTCATAATTTTCATCGGCTGTGACGAATGAAATATTTGTTGGGTATTCGGTTGTTGTCATTGATTTTACACGTTCTGTAGTGTTGGTAATGGAATTTGTTGCATCTTTCAGTCAAAGTATCGAGAATCGAAGTGTCCCATACAGAAACTAGCGGCATGTAACGTATATCTAGATGTACTATACACGAATAAGGATAATAAAAGTGGATTGATGATGAACGGATATTTAATGGAAAATATTTAATACATAATTCTTAAAGAATAATTTATCAATATTTTGATTTATAAATTTGAATTATAATTTTTGTTTAGTAATTTCCTATTAGTATTTTGGGTTATAGCTACGATTCACTTCATTTTTGTTACAGCATCTGATAGTTAAATCGACTTTCTGTTATTATTATTTATATATGGTGGCAAAAAAATTTAAAAAAATTCCTTACAAAAATTTTTAATATTTAAATTAATGATCTCTAATTGTAATATATTTTTATTATTATAACAGATATTTTTATCATCATTATTATTATTCCTATACACAGTAGTGTGAACAATTTACCAAAATTCTCTTTTATTCTCTTCAATACTAAACCACTATATACACAGTGATAACTAAAGTAATATAAAGTCGATCTTAATAATCACAAATCTAGGTTATGTAATATACTTTAGACATTTTACCTCGTTTACATTCCAGTATCGAACAATTAATGACTATTTTAGTGGTACAACTTGACAATAGAAATATTTTAAAAGCAATCGCCCTCTTATCTTTCATTCGGACGAGTAACGAAAATCGATTTTAACGAACGTCGTTTGCAATCGTGTTACAGGCGAAGAAGGAGATCTACGATGTGAAGCAACAGAGGCTATGTCTGGCCCAGGATGAGTACAATCACCTCAACAACGCTTTAACGACGCTCGGCGCTTCGCGCACAAGTTGTGAGTACACCTTAATATTAGCGGTATTTATTTTCTGGAATTTTTTAGCATGCGAGTATCCCTCGAAGTGTGGTCTAGCGTGGAAAGCAATGATTTACATGGAGCTTATGGCGCGTTAAACAATCCTTCGCGGAGTAATCGATTATATTATCGATCATTGACAAATATCGCACGTTTTATTAATTTTTCGATACTTTTAATCGGCTGTAGAAAAATATTAACGTGTATACGATTCTTATATGGAGAATGAAATACAAGTGGCGATATTGTAAAAAGCGTGATGTAACTGAGAACAATTCGCAAAGACACATAAAATTGGCCTTACTTGTGACAAAATTTTTAAGCATGCATGTGGTGTTACCGAACACGGTATCGTTTTATGTTTGTTTTATGCACGTGGTTCGAGCATGCAGTTTGATATAGAATAAAACCATAGTTTTGTCCGTTGTTTATATATTATTATACACAATTACGTTATGCTTTTAAGCGATTTGGTAAGTTTCGAATGAAATTTCTATTCGATTTTACATTGAACTCGAGGAAAAAGAATACTTTTTATGTCATAAATCGTCGAGTTGGAACTAAAGTAAGTCGCGTGTGATGTCTCCGTCCGTTTATAGGATTTGAGAAGAAATTGATAAAATTCAAAAATAGTTACTGTATTCTACGATGTTTGTCCATGGTTAATTTTCTTTTCTTTCCACATATGCTTTCGAATATTAGTTAAGTATTTTATTGCTTCAATAATGTCATATTATATTATTCTTTTATTATCATTATTATTATATTGTATCCTTATTATATTAATACTATTATGTTATTATTATTATATTATTATTATTATTATTGTTATTATTACATTATTAGTAGTAGTAGAATTTCTACTATTGCTGTTATTTTATTGTATCACTATATTATTATTATTATTGTTATTGTCATATATTATTGCTATTATTTCTTCTTTTTTTATACGATTATTATGCGTATTATTATTATTATACTATATTAATTAGCGTATAACGAGCCTTACGAATGAATTAACGATCGATCCTTCTTGCCTACAGTGTGCTCCAGTTCAAGTTCATTGAGTACCAAGTACGATCCGGATCTCTTGAAATCCGATGTCGCGCTCGCTAGGAGTCGAGTTTCCCGGCTGAAACGAGAGCTCGAACAAATCCGAGCTGAAATGAACTGTACGCAGCGAGGAGTGGACACTCTCGCAAGGTATGCCATTGTCCTGCTCCGAGATTCATCCTCGAGAGGCAACTGAATAGGAAGAATATGTCTTTTGTGAGTGTGATGGAATAAATGGACGAATTTCAAGCGTTCAATGGCGCTATAATGAGATCGATACTAAAGATCGATATACGGGTCAGTTATAAATCTCTTTGTTGGTTATGACCGCGCGGACGAGCCCGTGATTTATTTGTTGCACGATTTTCTTGGTAAGACTAAATTTTTGAATTTCCTTTTTGCATCGTGAATTCGTATTTTGCGTTATAGATCCGTATAACCGCTAAATATTATTTCTGAATAAGCACTTCGGTAAATTTTTTCAATCAAAAATAATTTTTTAGAATCAATTTTGTTAATCATTTTTAGAATAATTTTTTTAAAATACCAAGGAATTTCACTTTCGATAATTTCTATTTGAAAAAGTAATTCTCGTTCTAACTGAATAGAATTATCTTGAACGCCATTTTGTTATTTTCTGTAAAATTAAAAGATATAAAATTTGTCATATTACAATAATCGTGATACAATATTTATAGTAACGTTATAATTAGGCCAAGTGTTTTCTATGTCCACCATCACAATGTAACAAAAGAAATTTTCCGCTATCAATAAATTGTCCATCGAGTTGGAAAAATGTTTAAAAATTTATAAATTTTTTAATTTTGGTTTTATTTTTGATACAGCGTCGAGCAAAAGTTGAGCGGACACCATGGCGGTTGTTACAACATCACGGAGGCTCAGGCGATCATGACGGAGCTTCGAAATATTCAAAAGTCGCTGAGTTCGGGCGAAAAGGAGAAAGCTGAATTGATGCAGTCTCTGGCTCAACTAAAGGACGAGCTGACGAGACTGCAACTCTGCGAAGGTAGTCCCGAGGCCAGCACGCTCAGCTTACCTCAGGAAAAGCTTAGTACTGCGTCTCAAACAGATCTGTCAGGCGAATTGGTCCCAATCGGCACCCGTCTGGCCGAAATGGCGCGAATGAGGTTGCAGTATGACGAAGCGAGGAAGAGGATACAGCATATTCAGCAGCAACTTGCGGACCTTGAAGAAAAAGTGACACCTGGTCAAACGGAGAGCGATAAGGACAAGTTGCTGCTGTTCCAGGAGAAGGAACAGCTGCTGCGAGAGCTAAGGAGCATCACACCGCGCACCAGAACGCAACAAGACATGAAAAAGATTCAGAGCGAGATCCGCCGCCTCGAACAGGATCTAAACAACGCACTTGAGTTGTCGAATAAAACGATTACCGACCGCGTACGACTGCACGAAGAGAAACAACTGTTGTTGCAACAGCTAAGAGACGCTCTACGTTCGATGGCGATGCTCGAGGGTCAGCTGAAAACTCTCAGCGCGAGCACACTCTCAGTGAGCAGCAGTTCTAGCCTTGGAAGCCTTAGCACGACTAGTAGTAAGGGGTCCCTGAGCTCTGGACTGAGTTTCACCGATATTTATGGTGGTCCCCAGTGTCTGGGTCCTGTTAGCTCGCAGCAAGAGCGACCAGTTGACATGGTCGATCTGCATAGACGCGTGGAGAGATTGCTCAGAGGTTCGGAACAAAACAATCTTGTCAGTACGCCCTCGCCTGGTCGATCGCAACCAAGTTTGTCACCGAGATCGAGTTTGTCTAGTGTCAGTCCACCCGTTTCGCCGCTTTATGAAAACGCCCCAATGGGTCCACCACCCGCGTATGAACATGTGGAAATGCAGAGACGGCAGCATCAGAGACCCACAACCTCGTCCAATGCTCATTTAGATGGAAATCAATTGGAAGATCGTTTGGCGGAACTTAGGCTCAGTCAACAGCAAACATCGTCACACGAACAATCGTGCACTGGTTCCCAGGATCGTTTGAAGTTGGTCGGTGGTCCACATCCACCTGTTGAATTGCAATCTGGAAATATGTCTCAAGGCAGCGGCCTTGGCAGGCCTGTATGCGTGATGCAGCACCAAATCCCGTCCCAGGAGCCACCGCCTCTTTCACCTATTAGCGAGACACCTCCTCCTACTGGTATTCGTTCGAGAGCTAGCAGTTCTGGTACGAACACTAGGTCCGTCTCAGCTGCAGTTTCTGACGAAAGTGTCGCGGGTGATTCAGGAGTATTCGAGGCCTCCAATCGTAGGAAACTTCCCGGTGCAATCGGCGATGTAAACTCACTGGCACTTGGGGAGATGAGCCTGGAGACGGCACAGGTGCAAATTAAACTTAGGTTTGTTTTACATTCGTAATTCTGATCCCTTTTTTGGAAATTGATAAAGGAAGCATATGAGACAAATAGATGAAGAGTTTAAATGCTTGTTCTGTGTTTTAGTAATAAGTTGGTGATTTCATTCATGTGAGTGAAGTGGTAACTTAAGTGAGAGTGAGTTCAATCATTTAATTGTGCAGACCATTTATCGACTATAAAAATAATAGGAAGCTATTTAAATTGCATCTTTAATTCTTGTGCAATTAATGAGTTAATGTTATTCTTTCAAACCAGTATTTATTTTACATTTTTTTTACAACGATCAATTTAAGCAAGAAATTTAGATAGAGTCAATAATTTGTTTTATATATAATATAATCATTCATCTATGAAGAGCCTATTTTTTTTAATTGTACATAATTTTGGTAAACAAAATTGTTTCACATACTTTGCAGTTGTGAAATATTTTGTGGTCTACAATGTTCATAAAGTTTTATACTTTTATGACAAATATTTCTTTCAAAGTAACAAAGAATTTTAACCAGAATATTTCAATAATTCCATAGTTTTGAAGTAATAAACTTTAGAATATCTTCAAATACAAAGAATAATCTAATGAATAACATTTCTTATAATTAGAAAAAAAATGTTATAAAATTATTACTTTTATCTGCATCATTGAAATATCACATGACTGGAAAAAATATTAATAACAAGTATATTTGATTTTGTAGTAAAATATTATTATTTGGTATATTAATAATAATATTATATTATTGATATATTATTTAGGAATTTATGCAGAAGGTTTTTATTTATTTCGCACAAACAAATTAGAATCTGCTTATGTATCATCTCATATGGATCCCTGTAAAACTATTGTCCAACTATACTTTTATAATCATAAAGACTTATGTAAACAATTTATTTGTTTAGATATTCTGTAAGTGATGGTTTGCTCCATGTTGGAATCGAACGTGCCAGAAATTTGGCTGCCCTTTTTATTCCTAACAACGCTCAAGTGTGAGTATTTATGTTAATGCATAATTTATTATTATTCATAAGTTGAAATTTCTTTAATGGATTAAAAAATAGATGGTAAATATAACATTTCTGTTATAAATTAATTTTTGTTAGTTTTAAAATAACATATTATATTTGTTATCATATATTAATAATAAAAAATAATTACATAAAATAAATATACAATACTTAAATCAGAAGAAATATCTTCTGTGATAAGTTTACACAAGATATAAATGTCTGCAGCATTTAAAATTATTAGGATGAAAATTAAAGATGATAAAAAGTCACAGTTGTTTTTTCTGTTTACGTTTAGATATATAAAGGCTGCATTGCTTCCGATGCAACCGCCCGTTAATCATATGTGTTGTACGAAACCTGTTGTGGATCTGCGCAAACCAACCTTCGGCGAAACATTCCCGATTGCAGTACCACTCAACAAACTGTACACGAAGACACTGCAAGTCAACGTTTGGTGTACGAGCAGCGAGTCTGAGGAGTGCTTGGTACGTGTGTTTTTTGTCTCTTGTTTGTTCCTCCCCTTTGAAGATCGAAATGGCAATAAAATATTAAAAATATTTGAATACACAGATCAGATAATGACTTGATCACTTACTAATTTATTAACAATACAATTATTTTTAAATATTTAAAATGCAGTGTAATAAGTAAGATATAGTATTGGATTCATTAAAGTTACTAATAGTTTATATATTCATTTTCCTTAATTTAGTATGCTTTGTATAAATTTGAAAAGATTTCATATATATTTTTTAGTATGTTAATTTTTTTATTATGTTTAATTACATTGAAAGAAGTATAATAGAAACTCTAAATTGAATTGCTTTGTTCGGATAATAGAATTGTGGGATAATATATTCATTTAATGCTTATATCTATTATAAAAATAATCTAGAAAGCAGTATTAAATTGTGTTTTTAATTAGATTTTATTCAGTTTTACAATTCAATTTCATAACTTTCTTTTATGTAATAAATATGTATAATTCAATGCTATTTTTTATTTTCATCACAATTTAAAGAATTACCTTTTTACTTATTTATTACAAATTATTTTTATTAATCACTTTGTTGCACTTATATTAAACCCATATTAATCTTAAATAATGTAAAAATAACTTTAAAACTTTGTTAGAAGTTTAGAAATATTAAGCATTATGGAAATTAATGATATAATATAAAATAATACAAAGTACATTATTTACTATAAATGCATCACACTCACCGTATTTCTGATTTGTATTTGAACTTCATTTCATTTATTTTAGGGATCTGCCCAAGTGTCCCTTGCAGACTTTAGTCCAGAATCGCCAAGCGTGAAATGGTACAACATACTCTCCTTTCGCTTCATGCAACCATCCGACAGCCCAAGCACTAGCACTAGCAACAGCAATAGCATCTCTACCAGCGTTGCAAGACAAGCTAAACACGACAAACAGGAATCAGACTTATCGGTGTATCGCGGTGGACAGAATACAAAAGAAGAAAGCAGTGACGAGAGCACTATTATTAGTTCTCAGACATCGACTTTAACAAGAAATCAAGGATGCGATGAGCTCCAGACAGCAATTTCGTTAAGGCTGGAAGAGTTAGCCAATTGCTTGGGAAGTCCGGAAGAAGAGGATGAGAACGGTGGCAGTGAAAGCGGAAGTGAGGACAGTGACGAAGAAGGAATTATTGTGGAATTTACGATGGAAGATAATGTTCTGGAAGATGTGTTAGAACACGAGGTAAATACTACTTCGAATTATTTTTAACTTCAATTTTCACTGAATAATCGCTGTTAGATGAGAAACTCTGTAATATTTTTGTTTTTTAACATTTCTGTATTTTAAACTTTGTATTTAACCGAACAGAGGTTATTAAAAACACATCTTTACTCGATCAAAATTTTGCGACACATATACTGTTTTCAAAATCCATTCTCTAGACCAGTTTTTAATTAAATTCTAGTTTCACATAATTCCCATTTCATGACCTGTTTTCAACTTTCTATAGAAAATATGTCAAGTAAATGTATTTAATTGATATATTTTTCTTATACATGCTTTTTTTTATAAACAATTATAGGAGGATGAAGAATTAAATGAGGAAGCAAGGCAGACTCAAGATAAAGAAACCAATACAGAGTGTGTTTTTATCCCAGAACAAGGAAAACAGAGGAAACTTTCGGCAGCCGGTGTTACTTCTAGCGTTATGCACGACGATAAAAATTCTATTGTAATCAAAAGGAGTCAAACTTTCTCACCTAGTGCTGCAGTTAGTAAAAATCACTATATTTGTCGGGTAAGCGTTATTTTCCTTTTTAAAATATTATCTTAAATTTTATTAAGTTTGTTATATTTATTAATTTCGTGCTTTCTTTTTACAGTTGAATCGAAGCGATAGTGATAGTAGTATGCCACTTTACCGCAGAGGTGGACCTTTTCAACGAAATTCAGTAGAAAGACGGTCTCTTCGATGGCGAAGACCTTTGTCTGCACTCAGCTGTAAAACCGCCTCGAAAAAGTCCACTAATTTACCACCTACTGCTAGAACCTCGCTAGATCTTGAATTAGATCTTCAAGCACAACATGCTAGATTAAACAATCTTCAAGACGAGCTAAGTAGATTACGCGAATTGAAACAAAGGTTAGAACAAGCGCGAGAAAAGGGGGATACCGATTTTGCAACGTGGTTGCTGGAGGACCACAAATTTCAGAACCTGATGGCACAAGCCGAAAGTGGAAAAAACGGCAAGAGTGCTGAGGATAAAAGAGTAGAAAAAATGTTAAAGAAAACTTCGAAAGAAATCTATAAATTACGAAAAACAAAAGCTGGCAAAGGGAAACCTGATATTATTTCGTTCAAGTATGTACAACACTATTTATCCATTTAATTATAATATACATGCTTAAATATTTCTTAAATTATAAAAATTTTTAATATTTACATCGTATACATTCATTTTTGTTTGTATCAATTTTGTTTATTACTCTATTATTATCATATTACCAGTAATTTTTACGATAAAAAGAAATGTACAATATCAATGATATAAAATAAATTTTTTTCGTCGCAAATGCTTTAACTTCACATTAATTTCGTATTTCAGAGAAAAAATGGCTTTCTTCACACGCGTTAATCTCAATGTTCCTGTACTTCCACCTGAAGATTCATTGTGTGAGAACTCATCGTCACCATCACCATCAGCCATCCAGCACAGGAGACACGCCTCGGAACCAGTTACCACTGAATACATGGTTAGTAAGCTTGGTGCTCAAGGTGTTTCGAATTTGACCACACGGTCAAATAGTGTTCCTAGCGGAAATACGTCCGCAATGAGGACTGATGGTGCCGCGACCAATAACACGACTGCGGTCACAAATGTGACCGAGGACGTTCCGGCAAACAGTACAAATAAATCTGTGAACGCGAAAGGTCGGCCTGCCGAGACGAACGCGCATTGTCAAGAAAACGGTCAAGGTGAAAACCTAAAATCAACCGAAGAAAACGACGGTGAAGAACCAAGAAGGTACGAATATGTCGTCGACAGAGTTCTCGGCGTTGAAGTGTAACACTCATTATTTTTACCAATGGACAAATCGTCTGAATGGGTGGATAATTAATGCGTACCAGTCCAGTGACCTTTAAATGGAAACAAAGGATTGAAAAGAACAACAAAGGAATATTATTTCTCCACTTTTTTCGAATTCCAGGTGCCATGCACGAAGATTGAAGAAAATTTAGATGAAGAACGTTTACCGAAGTACATTTGAAAGCCACACATAGTGATGCTAGTGTAACTAGTACAAGAAACTAAATGAAGTGTTGCTGATATTGTTTTTTTTTTTTTTTTTTTTTTTTTTTTTTTTTTAATTATTGGTTATCGACGCGATGACGCGATACCGTAAAAGAAATTTTTAGGAAGACTTTCGAAGCGATAGAGAAAAATGCGCAAAACAAGCGCTCTGTACATACGAAAACCGTAAATTATTTAAATGAGATTTTATGTGAGAATTATTTAATTTCAATCGATTCCATCGGGTTCCTCTCTTGCATCCCGGTTTATTATTTTACGTTATATCGCTTTGCTCGCTTCCCCTTGCATATCCTTTTTAGAAACACGTGGCCCCACCGAGCAGCTGGACTGCAATATTGAAAATGTAATAAACAAAGAAAAAGAGAGTAAAGGGAAAGA